GAACTTGCGAAAGTCCAATAGCTTCTGCTCTAGCTGCATATGTTGCACTGTCGAATTGAAAGGGACTGACGACTGACCTTGTTAGAAAACCATACTGTCCATTTAGAATGATCTATTACAGTGATAAAATTATCATCTCTGGACTTTGATATAATAATGAGATCATCCACTGTGTGATGCACTGCAAAGTACAGTAATATACCTCGTAAAGATAGTCCAAAGAAAGAAATGAAACTAATAATTAACACATGATAACTTGGACTGTCGAGCAGCAGTGAGCAACTCTCAAGCAACAAGACCACCTAGCCAGATCATTTTCTGCTCTCAAGCTCTAACTACTCCCTGCAGCTTCGTCGTGGGTAGAAAGAGTTAATCTTGGCGAGAGAGTTGCCTAGTTGTGCTCCAAGCAGTCAACCAGCCAAATCTTCAGATCTCAGAATACCTGAGAATATCAGGTGCTATGGGAGGGAGCATTCTTCCGTGCTCCAGGAGCTTCTGAAACGTTGGATCTGAGGTCCAACGGTCATCTCAGGTGCTCCGATAAATTTTCAAAAAGCCTGTCAGAAGTCCCTTAATTACACGCATGTCCAGGGGCTCCTCGGATGACCGTGGATCTCAGCCGAGCTTGCTGTGTAGCACCTGAGACTCCCTCCTCAGAATACATCATGCTGGTGTCAGCATTTTTTAGCTTTTTCTTTCTTTCTTGCATGCATGCTCTTGACGTTTGTATCCAACAGGATTTCCCAATCTGCTGCTGATACAGAATCCTCACTCTTGCCCTCGCCGCCACCATGTTCTTCATCGCCAATTTCCATCACTGATAGGGCGTCATTATGTGCAACCGCGACCCTAACAGATAAAGGAGCATGCACTTTAGTACTTGTCCAGAATCATAGGGAACAAAAGCATGGATATACCCACTGTTTTGGTTACCGGTCGAAATTTCAAGATTTCCCATGGTTACCGTGTATTTCGGCGACCCTCGGTAAATCGCCATACCGAACAAAAAATACCATTTTTTTGAAAATTTTGAATTTAAACACTCGATTTACTGTAAAGTACGTAGGACCTAATTAATGACATGAGAGTTGGTTCTGGCATGTTGGTAGCAACCTAGTTCGTGTTTTGGGAAGTCTCTGGTTCGAATATTCGTTCATTCACTTATTTGAATTCAAAATTCAACTACAAAATTCACTCGAAATATTCTCAGTATTTCTCGGTAACCATGGTAACCACATTTACCAGTCCCCCTCGGTAAAATTGCCTCGTTGGGTAACCAAAACCTTGGATATACCTAAGCAAGCAGTATGTAAAGATGATCCTTAGGCAGTAGAAATAATAACAAGAACAAAAAATACTAGTTACCTTCGCGACCCTGCCAAACATGCGAGACCTTCGACCCTTTCACGGCCATGAATGTTCAGTATCCTCTTGAGCCTGGGGAATATGAAGCACTCACTAGTTTACCATAAATGTTAACAAATCACATGGGAAACATATTTCGTATGTGAGAGCTTGCCAACCGGCATCTACAATATCATTTTGGAATACACAATCTATGCTAGTATTAGTTGCATGAGATGTAGGGAATGTGCTTGTTTCGTAAGGGCATACTTTGGTGATTACCTGAAATTAATGGAGCACCACAAATAAACATGTCCGTCTTCTGTACCTGTTACTAGAATTGGAAGATTGGGATGGGAAACGACAGAAAGAACTGCGGACCTATGAGGTAGTGTACCAGTGCACGCATTCTTCTGCATGTCCCATATCTTTATTATAGAAAACAAGGCATGCATTATTAGAAATCTTATGTGTGTGTTGTGTTAATATATTTTTCAACAAAATGGCAGACCTTTGCAGTCTTGTCCAAAGAGCCAGTAACCAAACACTTCCGACCATCCCGTGTGAAGAAATCCAGGCACCTCACGTTACGCAAATGCCCAGAAAGAGTAAACTTGCATTCGGGAGATCAAGACTCCAAACCTGAACACTAGACATCTTAGAAAACAGAACGTACTTCATCGTAGAGACAGACTGAGGGAGAAAGACCTGTATTGCGTGATCCTCCGAACCATCAGTGAAACTAGCAAAACTGTTGGTGTCTTCTGGGTTAAATGCGACTCCACAAACATAGCCCCAGTGTTCTTCAGATGTTTGTATGCACTTCAAGCTCCAGTGCTGGTCCCAGTCCCAAAGCTTTATTTGTGCACGAGATCCTGACAGCACATAGGGCTTTGTTGGATGAACGGCTAGTGAACAAACACCAAGACTGTGAGCTTCAAAACTCATGATGTTTTCCATTTTATTCTCATATTTGTACACATGGACGAAACCATCACTTGACCCAGCCACAAACCATCTCTTTCGTGCAATGAATTTAACACAAACTGCAGTGAGAACAATCATCTAATTAGCATATCAGTGTACCGTGGGAGAAACTTGTGTTAACGAATAAGTCTGAAGGATACCTATTTGCGACCTTGAGGCTTCAACCGAACCTACCGATTTCTGTCAATAAAATACAAATTATCATTTGTTAGTCCAAGGTAAACAAAAGAATGTACATTTGCCAATACAAATCGGGCTTTTTGTGAGGACCCTATACATTTATCCATGGTAATTGAATTACCACGAGAAAAGAGATATTATTCTGTCGAACATCACCAAACTTAATCATATTGTGCTATTTGCTAATCAACAGTGTGTTCATATGTACTAACTGTTACTGCCACATGCATCTTTTCGATGGAGATGCCAGGAGGCAATATAGTTCTTTTGTTATCATAGAAAAATGTCTGCTCACATAATACAGTAACATACCTGTAGGCCATAGTTATGCATGTGAACATACCCAAATGAACCTGTTAAAATTCTGTATGACAAGAAGATCAGAACACATCCAATGAACTAACTTGAAAATTGAGGTTTAAATAGTCAAATGCCCATATTATGCTATGCACTCACAATGGATCTGTCTGATTTGCATCCATGGAATGGATCGAATCTGTATTCTCCACCGATATGATCTGACAAAATGAAGTTCTTGTCAACACTAGAGAAACGACCTCCAAGATGGATCTAATGAAGAGAGAGAAAAATCCGAAACCTGATATACCTTTATTAAAGGGGGCATTGCCTAATGCAGCGTCAATGGATGAAAGAAAAAGAGAAACAAAAGGAAACATCAGCACAGTTCAATTCGTCAATGTAGGAGCATCATCCCAATGGCACAACACAATTGGCCCCATAAACGGATTTAGCTGGGATCTCTTTGTGGATCATCTTGAATCCTCTCTATTATAGTGCAATTAATGACTTCTTTCACTTAGCATAGCACAATTGAGATGGTATGAGTCACTTTTGGATTGATTCGTACAACAAACTTAGGGCATGTCCTTTTTTGTTGTAAAAGATTTATTCACAAAAAGTCATCAGTATTTCATTTCCAAACTTCCCAGACCAAAAAAAATTCACGGGCTCACGGCTTGGTAGTTAATGCCCAGCCTCACGGCGGGCATAAAACCCGATACCCGTAGTCCGAACCCGAAAAACCCAAACCCGTATAGCCCGAACCTGAAAAACCCGAGCACTATATCAGGTAATAGTTTTGGAAACCAGGATTTTATTTGGGTAATTCGAGTAAAAGGTCATGGTACCCGAATTACCCAAATATGCCGAAATATATTGGCAGCCAAATAAAATTCCCTCACGCATGGAGAAGGTCCAGCCGAAAATCGCTTCGCTACTCGCTAGCCTCCTCGAAAACATTGGTCTAGTGCCGTGTCCCCTACCCCAACCCCACACACGAGTCGCACCCGATTTCCTCATTCCCTTCTCAAACGCGCGCCGCAGGGCTAGCTGATGACCACCACCTCGCATGGCCACCACTCGGCCCAGCGAGCCGCAAGCCACCCGCCGGCGCTTCCTTCGCACTGCCGCAGCTGCCCTCCTCCCCCTCCTGTTCTGCCTGGCTAGCCTCCCGGCTGCGGCACAGCCACAGCGCTATGCGCACCAACTCCAGGCCACCGCCCTCTGCAAGTTCTGGCCTGCGAGCTCAACCGCCTCTGCAGGCGCTCACCTCGCCCGTTGGCCACCTCACGATGCCCCTGAACTATGGTTTCTCTTTTCTATGTCTGGTATTTCGTGTAATTGAGGATTACCCGAACCCGAACCTGATTTTTCTGGTACCCGAATTGTCGGGTATAAAAAATTATGGACAATTTTTGGGTGTTGTTTTTTAAAACCCGACGTTTTTATAACCCGAATTACCCATCCCGAATTAAATTCGGGTCACCCCAAACTCCCAGCCTGTTATATCTGTGTTATATCCATAGCCAATCCTTCACCTATCCATGTTATATTTGTTCCATACTGCTGAAACATTCTGTTTGAGTAGGTAAACCAAAATGTAAGAGACCATATTCTGTAGCATTCGAAATCCGGATAAGTTTTGATTTGGTAGTCTAGCGACTAATGGCATAGATGAGGCATCAAGTCATTGACTCACAACAGAAGAAAGTACAACCATTCTAGTGCATTACATCATATGGTATGCACAATTTCGGTAAAACAAGGTTGAACATCCCTAGTAACCAATACTGCACTTATCCCCACTGAGCAGAAAATAATTGTTTGCTTGAAAAAACTGACCTCGAATGGCATCTCTGCTTGTAGGGCACAAACAGCTTTCAATGAAACCTTATGCACCGTAGTCCCCGTCTCTTCGGCTTCCTTAAAATGTTCTTCGCAAATGTATTTGGCATCAGTACATAATGAATCATAACCAATTATACTGCTCTGCAGGATTAAATCTATAGTTCTTTCTTTTGGTAGGTTTTTGTGTTTATTCATTGTCACAACGAGAGTGTAAGTGGACCTCGGGGCAACAATTCCATACAATGGCAGACATAAGAAGCATGACTGGTCATTGCCCTTCTTCATGAGCACAAGTAACAAATTTTCATCTTTGTTGTTTGTTATTTCAAGTGAGCATGGGATCAACTTGTCGGGTTCGAAGCGAAAGTGGAGCTCAAGCGGGCAAACGTCAGGAAGGGCACTGGAGCCTGTGATTACCTGCAAGAAAAGAGAACATGTAGTAGCCCATTATGACATTTTACTTGCTTAATTTGCTGCCGTATTGGTACTGTTACTTGCAACATTATTCAGAACACACAAGTTTCATTTGTACTGGCCCGTAATCAAGTAGATATAGCTTTGCAGGATGGCATGCTTAGTTAGTGATCTCACCTCAGTCTCAGTGGTTGTGTCATGTGCTGATTGTGACACACTGGAATTCTTTGCTCCCCCTAGATCATTTTGATTGCCTATGCTCGATTCTCGCAAAAACACCGAAGCAGCGGGCGGCGGTGATGCTTGAGCCTGTTGTGCCTGCTCGTGGCTGGGCAGGGGATGTACCTTAATCCGCCGCCGGAGACCCGGGGCAGCCACCCCTGCTCGCCCCCATGGAAGGTCCGACAAATCCTCATCAGAATTCGCCTCAGCCACCAATTTACCATCTGTCTTATTGATGACATTGTCTTCAGTCACAGTATGGCATGCTGTTTTCGCCTCATCCACCAATTTACCATCTGTCTTGTTCATGACATTCTCTTCAGTCACACTATGGGGAGCGAGATGCTTGCTCGCAGTATATAATGGAAACTCTTCACAGGCTTCCACCTATATACAAAGACACAAATTAATGTAGAGACTTTCAACACCATAATTAAGAATAACATAATTAAGATTATTCTTGTTGATTTCATATTTCATGAATCTTGATCTTTTCATTAAGGAGAAGTGCATAAGACAGTTTGATCTATATGCACTACAACTGCTATAGTATATAAAGTTTTTTGTATTTAAAATGTTAAATTTGATCGAACTTGTGTGGTTAACATCAGATGAAGTTCCTACTCATGCATGTTTAATTCTTGAGGTAATTGCTCTTCCTCAAAAGTAACTTAATTTTCCTTAAACTATAAGTTGATTTGTTTTCTTATGATTACAAGAACAATGGAAATGTGTGCACATACACCCTACGATAAGATACTGCGGAAGATCATGTGGTGGCCTTGGAGAAACACAAAGTCCCACCAAAGTACATTACCCTCATCAAGGACATGTACGATAATGTTGTGACAAGTGTTCAAACAAGTGCATGATTGCGACACTGATGACTTTCCAATTGAAATAGGACTGCACCAAAGGTTAGCTTTGAGCTCTTGCCATTTTGCGTTGGTAATGGATGAGGTCACAAAGGATATACAAGGAGATGTCCCATGGTGTATGCTCTTGGTGAATCATGTAATACTAATCGATGATAGTTGAATAGAGGTTAACAACAAGTAGAGTTGAAAGATTTTGGAATCAAAAGGTTTTAAGTAGAACTAAAACTGAGTACATGAGGTGCGATTTCAATACAACTTGGCATGAGGAGGAGGTTAGCCTTGGATGGGCAGGTGGTACCTCAGAAGGACACCTTTTGATATGTGGGGTCAATGCTGCAAAAGGACGGTGATATCGATGCATATGTGAGCCATCAAATCACAGACAGATGTATGAAGTGGCGGCAAGCTTCTGGCAACTTATGTGACAAGAGAGTTCCACAAAAGTTAAAAGAGTCAGGTTCGATAGGACTGCGATTCAACCTACAATATTGCATGGCAGAAAAAATGTTGGTCGAATAAAAGGAGACATGTCCAACAGTTAGGTGTAGCATGGATGTGCATGCTGAGATGGATGTGGCCATGCACAAGAATGGATCAGGTCCAGGATGATGATATACGTGATAGAGTTGGTGTAGCACCAAGTGATGAGAAGGTTCTCCAACATCGTTTGAGATGGTTTGGAATATACAATGCATGCCTCCACATGCATCAGTGCATATCGAAAGGATAAAGCATGCTGATAATGTCAAGAGAGGCCGGGGTAGACCAACTTGACATGCCAAGAGTCTGTAAAGAGAGACCTGAAAGACTGGAATATCACTAAAGAACTAGCAATGGGCAGGGGTGTGTGGAAGTTAGCTATCCATGTGATAGAACCATGCCTAGGTTTCGAGATGTTATGGGTTTTAGCTCTAGCCTACCCACTTGTTTGGTACTGAAAGACTTTGGTGTTGTTGTGCTCATAGGTCTATCAAGAGCAACGTCCGAGCGCGCACACACAAACACACACATGAGTAGACCAGGATACATCCATGAACACCACAAGTTGCTAGATACGTAAATAACTAAGGAGGTCTGAGGGTGACTAGAATCAAGTAGAATTAGTATTTAAATTAATTAGGGAGCTCACCGCAGATGTTGTGTCACTAGCTAGTTGTGGCTCACTAGCGGCTTTCATTTCCTCTTGATAATTCGGACTTTCGGTCCTCAACTCTAATAAAGGTGTTGGTGAAAACCCCTCAGATGCAGTCTTGTCTACCACTTTGCCATCTATCTCGCTGTTGCACATATCTTCTGTGACACTCAGGATTGTGAGATCTTTGCTTGCACTAGTGTTTAGTACCAGCAACTTTTCCGTGTACTGCATATCTGATGGCAAGTTTTCGTGGGCTTGAATCTACGCACACATACGTACATAACTGATGAGACTTGTCAACAAACAAAATGAAGACTCACAGAGTAAAGTTTCTTCTTGTTAATTTGATACTTGAAAATAAAAAATAAATAGAAGTGTAAGTCAGTCTGATCTACATACAATAGGGATAGTATAATGTAAATTATATTGCGGCATTAATATAATTTAGAAGAATCAATCCAATCAGAATCTTAACTAAATACTATCTGTCACTCAACTATAAATAAAGATCATTTGGGCTGACCACTTATGGAATAAACATATCTTTGGAAGTTAGTATTTTTAGTCAGCTCACCTCACTGGTTTTGTCACTTGCTTGTTCTGGCTTACTGGACTCGTTTACTACCTCTTGGTGATTCTGAGTGCGTATGTTTGACTCCCACAAGGGCGTTGTTGGTGACAAACCTTCCTGTGATTGCTTCACCCCACACATTTGACCATCTGTCTCATTGCTGAATACATCTTCAATGATACTGTGCTCCTTGCTAAGAGTAGTGTCTAGAATCAGTGACTTGTCCTTGCACTGCATTTCTATAGGTAACCCTCCGCAGGCTTCCATCTATGCATAGAAACAGCTGGTGAGACTTTTCGACAAATAAAATTGATCACATGTGTACGTTTTTGTAAATTTGATATTCATAAATCTTGGACACATTTTATAAAAACGAAGAGAAGGAAGATAAAGGAACAAAGGCAATTTGATGTGAAAATACGAGGGCTGTTGTAGTGCAAATTATTCTTGTAGTGGCTTTCATAATAATTAATTTAGGACATCATATAGAATGCTGACCATACCTGGTCTGCTGCATTAAGCACTTGGACTATATCCTTTGCTGTAGGTCTTTTCTCCATAGCAGGGTCCACACATGTTAGGGCTATGGCGATGCATAGTTCTACTTGTTGGCTATATTTTTTCATTGATATATACTTCGATGTGGATACAAATTTGCTCCTCCAACTTCTAAGTACCTATATGTGCTTGCACAATGAGCTAAATGATAATATTGATGCAAAGGTTAGAATAGTTTATCTTACTTTCTCTTTGAAATGCTGACAAGATGTAGCAGCATTTTTGGAACTATCGAGGTCAAAATAAGGATACTCCCTTTGACCTGTAATTATCTCTATGATGATAATACCCAAGCTGAAAATATCTGCCTTCTTAGTGATTACGCCATGAATTAAGTATTCTGGTGCCATATATCCACTGAAATTTTGAAGTGCAAGCAGTGGAAATGTAAACAAGTAGCTGAGGAAAAGAAAAAAGAATAAGGTGCAAGAGGTATAGCTTACCGCGTTCCTGCATGATTATCAGTGACAATGTGTGACTGCTGTTCGCCAAAGATCCTGGACAGACCAAAGTCCGCAATTTTTGGTGTCATATTAGAGTCCATCAATATATTTTCAGGCTTAAGGTCCAGATGGATGATACGGCATTCGTCATGAAGGAAACGCAAGCCATTGCAAATCCCCTTGATTATCTCATATCTCATATTCCACTTGAGGTCCAAAGATCTTTCTGTATGGACCGATAAACAAACATAACGAAATTGTAAACCCACTCAGAATTTATAATTTGGGAGTCTTTCCCTGCTATAAAAAGAGATGCCTATATCATTTCCCACTTTCCCATGAAAAAGGATGCCTTGTTTCTTCAAGCCATTTTCTTCTCTCCACGTGGGTGTACCAAAATAGTGCTCACTTTGTGTGTGAATAACTGAGAGTGGGTGACCGGTCGCCCTTAGGCTAATACATAACATAATTATTTTGTTTGAAAGCATGCATGGTTGGAGAACATAGTTTTGAGGTGTTTTCTGAGGAAGTAAACTTACTAAGGAGAGAGAAATAACAATGTATAATGTATTCGGTTAACATACCATAAATATGTTTGTCGAGGCCTTTGTTGGATACATACTCGAAGCAGAGTAACCTTTTTGGAACTTCAGCAAAGATATGCTTCTTACTCCCACTTGGTTTCTCTATCGCTTCCCAATGCGATTCTGCACAGTAACCTACAAATTGTACTATGTTTCGGTGCTTGATACCCATAAGATAACTGACCTCATTCTGGAAATTCTCCTCTTTTAGATGTAATTCAAAAAGCTTCTTCACCGCAATAATTTTACCACTCCGAAGAACTCCCTGCATTGTAAGTTAAACCTCTCTTCAAAAGATGTCCACCTGACATTGTTTAGTTTCTGTTGCTAACAATTGACAGTGGAGTCAGTAATTGGCTATACCTTGTAAACAACTCCATACCCACCTCTACCAAGTTCCGATTCAGTCGAAAAATCACATGTGATGGCTCTCAAAAATTCTAGACGAAGACACATCGGTGTTGCATCTGAATCTTGTAGTTTCTTCTCCAGTTCATCACGTAAACTACACATCGGTGTTGCATTTGAATCTTGTAGCTTCTCCGGTTCATCATGTGAGTTAGACATTTCTGATCATACAAACAACCATTTTAGAATGGAATAAACAACAACAACATACCCTTTTAGACTGATACTATGATGTGAGTTATGTACGTGTCAGCAACTCAAACCACCTCGTCTTCATGTTAACTTTGATATTTGCTAAAAGAAGTGTAGTCATCTACAGCAGGGACCTTGTTAATTCTGAGAAAACACCTTGATCCAGCGGATCAATGTGACCATGTATTAACCCGTAGTCCTGATCCGTACGAAAAGAAGTTCGCTACTTTTTTTTTGAGGAAAAGCTAAGCTTTATTAATTACGAGTGCTTGGGAAAATCACCCAAAACACAACCAGCCACTTGTGGCGGTACATGAGACTCCCAATACAAAGTTTCAGAATATACAAAGCGATATCCTCTAGCTACTTGTGTGTACATTTGTTTTGATCAATACCAAATATAAAAACCATACTTCATATACTTCTTGGATCTGAACGCATCAAGTTCGAACTCAATCAGAACGAGGCATACAAAGTGTAGCAGTAATGAGCTGGAGTACTAACCGGGACGATTCATAGTGATGCACCTGCTAGCTTCTCAGAAAACATGTACTGTCCACGTAGAAGATCGAAGCGCAGGAAGACCATCAGACTGTCGATCCACCTTTAAAGGCTTCGAAATTCAGATCTAGACCAAACGGAGTAGACTTGACTTGGACACTTGGCCTGGGGTCCGGACAGTAATGCCGGTAGGCGAGAGAGACAGGTCCAGCCACAGTATCCATGGTAGATGAGAGTCCCAAATGGTCCATAGTCAAGCATCAAAACATGGGAGATTTTGATAAATCCTCTCCAACTGCATCTTAACAACCTACCCCTGTTGTGAAAATTTCATGGGTTCAGGTCTTGCCTGATAAGGATTCCTAAAGAGTATATGGAGGGGAACAGCAAATGCTCGCTTGATCTTATGCATGGCCCATGAAATGGTACAGCCAGGTGAGCCTGTATGTAGAGCATCTATTTTTTTTTTTTTTTGGAAATGGAGGATTAGCCCCGGCCTCTGCATCATAATGATGCATGCAGCCAGGTGAGCCTGTATGTAGAGCATCTATTGTCCACCAACTGCAATTTCGGCTTCTCAATCATCTCTGCAATTAATGGTCTCTCATATATTATCCATCCAACTGCCATTTCGACAGGACCAGCCAGTATACATCTGCATGTCAGTAGATGCATGAGAACAGCAAGCAGAGACAAGCCAATATGGTTCACACCTAATGAAAATGGTAGAGCCAGGGGGTCTATAGAGCATCTATTTTGTCCATCAAATTTTCCTTTCAGATTCATAATCATCTCTGCAATTAATAGCTAATGGTTTCCTCACCTCCTATGCTAGTGACGTTCACATATGAGCTCATCCTATTTTGGCGGCGATGGCAAATGACTAGAAAGACAGTTAAACCACAGCAACGTCCCACGTAATAGCCCATAGTTAAGATCCGGTTGAAAACAGCAAATGATAAATAGTATATGGGGTCAAAATCCATGAGTTCAGATCCTGCATGACAAGGATTCCTAAACTGTATATGGGAAACAGCAAATGCTAACTTGATTTCAGGCATGGCCCAGAAAATGGCACAGGCCAGGGGAGCTGTATGTAGAGCATCTATTGTCCATCCAACTGCCCTTGCGGCTTCTCAGTTATCACTGCAATTATTGGTTAATGGCCACCTCCTAGATCTACTTCCGATCTTGTTTTTCTGCGGCAATGGCGAGAAGCGTGGCTCCGCCGTGGCTGCGTCTGCACCGGCCTAGGTCCAAAATGGCCCACACTTAAGCATCAAAACATGGGGGTTTTTGATAGCATCCTATCTAATTGTGATCTTGATGCTAACAATTTACACCTTCGGTCAAAATTTCATGAATTCAGATCATGCAGTATATCAGGACTCATAACAGTGTATGGGGAACAGCAAGTGCACACTTGATTTCAGGCATGGACCAGGAAAATGGTACGGCCAGGGGACAGGGGAGCCAGCCTGTAAAGCATCTATTGTCCATTCAACTGCCCTTTCGGCTTCTCAATCATCTCTGCAATTCATGGTTAATGGTCTCGTCGTCCTGATTTCTGCGGCAATGGCGGGACGCGAAAACACAGTGATTCCAGCCACCACCTGGTAGGGACTGGACGGATAAACCATTAGCATCGATCACTAGCAACATGTGGGGATCGCTGCAAGAGGCTGGCACCTGGGGGTGAAGAAGCCGGACGACGGCTACCTGCAGTCGGTGGCACCGGAGATGCTCACGGCCGCGTGCGACCGACGCGCGTGGCTCCACCACGCCGGCGCCGGGGCCGGCGCACTGGGTGGTGGAAGCACGCGTACGGCGGCGTTCCATTGCCGCCGCCCCGCAGCATCGCCAGCGCGAGTGTCGTCGGATTGGGGGAGGAAGAAGCAGCACCTCGAGGAAATGGGGCTAGGGTGTGGGCCGGGTGAGGTATGGATAGGGTGGGCTTGGTATATGAAATCGGTCCAATTAGACCGCAACGGCCCAGCCCGGCACCTGACCCTTTCACCGGCCCATGAACACATGAGGTAGCTGCTAGTGGGTCCGCCCGCTCGTTTGGTCGCTTGTGCATTTCGGCCCCTATTTGAGGCAAAGCATGTCAAACTAGGAGTAGGACGTTTCGGTGTCCATACTCATCTGCATCTGGTTAGAAAAATATTCATAAAAAGTTTTAAAAAATTCAAAAATTTCCAATTTTTTTATGCGGTAGACAATTTGCTGCGTGAGAGCCGCTCCAAATTTTAAGTCATTTGGACATTTGAGCAGCTTTCAGCAAAAAAGACAAATCATATCAAAACAGTACATAAACAGTAAACATTTTTACAGACCTGTAATTTGTCTTTTTTGCTGAGAGCTACTCAGATGTCCAAATGATGTGAAACTTGGAGCAGACCTCACGCATCAAATTGTCTACGCACAAAAAAATTGGATTTTTTTTAATTTTTTCAGTATTTGTTTTGATTTTTTTCGTCAAGGCAGGTGCAAATATGTTCGGGTGCAGAAATGGATTTTCGGTCAAACCAAGGTATTTCGCTGAGAGAAGACACCAGGCTACACAGACTAAAAAAAAGCAGCCGAGGAGAGCTAAAAAAATGGGGAGCTCAGACTCCTGGCATGTTCCTTGTCTCCGGCGGCCGAGGCCACACTCTGTCGCCCCGCCTCTGCATCGACATCCCCTTCGGCCTCCCCTACATGCATGTCTCCACCAGTTCCCCTTCTCCGGCCTCGCTGATGGATCACACATCTCACCCCCCCATCGCGGCGCCCTGCTCCGACCTCGCCGATGCATGGCGCACCTCCGCTCTCCCCTCTGAGGTGCCCTTCTCCGGCCTTCCCTCACCGACGTGGTCCACCACAAGGAGCTTGGTTTCTTCCAGTCCAGCCTCACCCCCCAACGTGGTCCGCACCAGCGATGACCCGTCCTCTACTCTGACCTTCCTCCTTGACGCGATGCGCACCAGCGACGACCCGTCCTCTACTCCGACCACCCTCCTTGACGCTGTCTGCACCAGCAAACCCCCTTTCTCTACCTTAAACAACTCACATAGGATGGAGGGAGCAGCGCCGTCGGTCATGGCGGCAGGGGCGGCACCAAAGACCTCGAACCTGCTGGTTGCTCTTCCTGATGGGCAAGTTTTCAACTCCTCACATTGATGTGTAGCATCTGGTCTGCTAGAAATAAACATCTTTTTTATAATATAAATATAATTCCTTTTTATGCTCATGCTGGTTCATTTGTGCTCTATTCATGGGGCATATTGGCTGGTGTGTCTAATAGCCATACACATGTTTGTGAGATGCTAGTGCTAGTTTGTTTGCTAGGCTGGTTCGTAAACTATGATTGCATGGTGTTCTTCATGTATGTAAATCACCTATGTTCTAGCGGCATTTAAGTAATTAGTAGATCAATATATTAATTAAGTAAATCACTTATGTTCACATAACCAAATCACTAGATTAGCAATAATGTTCCTCATTTTTTTTGTAAATCACATGCGTTGTGGCAGCATTCAAGTTTTTTCAATGTGGTTGCATTCATCGATGTCATATTTGTGTCAATGTAGGTCAAACATGCCACCTTATAAGGTAATTATGAAATATGGGGCACGTTCTTACAAGAATTACAAGGGCGAGTTGTGCACTGTGTCTTCTTGGAGCTGTGACATTCATGTAGAGAGGTAGACTAGTTATGATCAACTTGTGGGGCTCATGCAGAGTAAATATCCATGGGGAAATGATGAGGGTGTTGTGTTGTCAAAGTGGAGTACTTGCAACCAATATTTTGTGCTAATTCGCAATGATGAAGATGTGGTGAGCATGTATGATGAGAATGAGGAAGAAAAGATTATTAAGATACTTGTCCAACTTTGCAAGAATGGTGAGGAGGATGAGTTTGCTCTTAGTGTGCTTCAACCAATCCCACCTTCAGCAAAGGACACACCCAACCTCAGACTGGAAGATTTAACTCAAAATTCTCAATATAAGTATGAGATACCCGAGGAGAACATGGGAAGGCAACAAAGATATGAAATTTCCTCTTTACTGTGCTACTGGTCATGATCTTATTAATGTGCATACTTATCTTCTAAATATTGTGTAACTATGTTTGATGGTTAGATTTTCAAATAGTTCATGCCAAAAATTCCTATTTACTGTGTTGTTGGTCATGATCTCTAAATATTGTGCAATTATGTGTGATGGTGTGATTTTCAAATATGTCATACCAAAATGTCCTGTTTGGTATGCTGCTAGTCATGACGTTACTATAATGGCAAAAGCAATATTAAAAAAAACAAGAGTGGCAAAAGCAAATCAAAATAATTGAGGGCAATTTGGTCTTTTCCCTA